ATCGAGATCGCATCAGCAAAAAATCGCAAAAAACAAACATTCAAAGATAAAGTAACGGAACAAAACTTTTCGACGGTTATCAAAGAAAAATCACAATTTAACAGTTATTTTAACTCCGATTTTGATGCTTTTTACAGTTACACTCCTTGACCCTATACGAATACAATGAATGAACTCGATCTTCAATTTAAAATATTTACACTAATGGATGTCACAAAATCTTATGTTATACTTAATGAAAGTATGAATAAACTCTTAAGTGTTAGTGAATCTATTATTTTGATGGGATACGCATTCTACAAAACTAGTTTCAACGATCCAAGCGTCAAACTTATTTGTATATACTTCGAGATCACATACGCCAAAAATTACAAAAAACAAACATTCAGATATCAAGTAATGGGACAAAACTTTTCGACGGTTATCAACGAAAAATCACGATTTAACAATTATTTTAACTCTGATTTTGATGATTTTTTATAGCTACAATCCTTGACCCTATATGAATACAGTGAATGAACTCGATCTTCAATTTAAAATATTTACATTAGTAGATACCAAAAAATCTTATGTTATACTTAATGAAAGTATGAATAAACTCTTAAGTGTTAGTGAATCTATTATTTTGATGGGATACGCATTCTACGAAACTAGTTTCAACGATCCAACCATCAAACATGTTTGTATATGCTTCGAGATCACATACGGCAAAAATTGCAAAAAACAAACATTCAGAGATAAAGTAACGGGAGAAAACTTTTCGACGGTTTTCAACGAAAAATCATGATTTAACGGTTATTTTAACTCCGATTTTGATGATTTTTTTACAGCTACATCCTTGACCCTATATGAATATAATGAATGAACTCAATCTTTAATTTAAAATATTTACACTAGTGGATACCACAAAATCTTATGTTATACTTAATGAAAGTATGAATAAACTCTTTAAGTGTTAGTGAATTTATCGTTTTGATGGATACGCATTCTACGAAACTCATTTCAACAATCCAACCGTCAAACTTGTTTGTATATACTTCGAGATCGCATACGCTAAAAATCACAAAAAAAAAAATTCAAAGATCAAGTAATGGGACAAAACTTTTTGATGGTTATCAACGAAAAATCACTATTTAACGGTTATTTTAACTCTGATTTTGATGTTTTTTTACAGCTACACTCCTTGACCCTATATGAATACAATGAATGAACTCAATCTTCAATTTAAAATATTTACACTAGTGGATACTACAAAATCTTATGTTATACTTAATGAAAGTATAAGCAAACTCTTAAGTATTAGTGAATCTATTGTTTTGATGGGATACGCATTCTACGAAACTAGTTTCAACAATCCAACCGTTAAACATGTTTGTATATGCTTCGAGATCGCATACGCGAAGAATTGCAAAAAACAAACATTCAGAGATAACGGGAGAAAACTTTTTGACGGTTATCAACGAAAAATCACGATTTAACGGTTATTTAACTCCAATTTTGATGATTTTTTACAGCTACACTTCTTGACCCTATACGAATACATTGAATTAAGTCGATCTTCAATTTAAAATATTTACACTAGTGGATACTACAAAATCTTATGTTAAACTTAATGAAAGTAAGAATAAACTCTTAAGTGTTAGTGAATCTATTGTTTTGATGGGATACGTATTCTACGGAACTAGTTTCAACGATCCAACCGTCAAACATGTTTGTATATACTTCGAGATCGCATACGCCAAAAATTGTAAAAAACAAACATTCAGAGATCAAGTAACGAGACAAAACTTTTCGACGGTTATCAATGAAAAATCACGATTTAACAGTTATTTTAACTCTGATTTTGATGATTTTTTACAGCTACACTCCTTGACCCTATATGAATACAATGAATGAACTCAATCTTCAATTTAAAAAATATTTACACTAGTGGATACTACAAAATCCTATGTTATACTTAATGAAAGTATGAATAAACTCTTAAGTGTTAGTGAATATATTGTTTTGATGGGATGCTCATTCTAGGAAATTAATTTCAACGATCCAACCGTCAACCATATTTGTATATACTTCGAGATGGCATATGCCAAATATTGCAAAAACAAACATTCAGAGATCAAGTAATCGGAGAAAAGTTTTCGACGGTTATCATTGAAAAATCACGATTTGATGGTTATTTTAACTCCGATTTTGATGATTTTTTACAACCACACTCCTTGACTCTATGTGAACACAATGAATGAACTCGATCTTCAATTTAAAATATTTACACTAGTGGATACTACAAAATCTTAAGTTATACTTAATGAAAGTATGAATAAACTCTTAAGTGTTAGTGAATATATCGTTTTGATGGAATACGCATTCTACAAAATTAATTTCAACGATCCAACCGTTAAACTTGTTTGTATATGCTTCGAGATTGCATACGTTAAAAATCGCAAAAAACAAACATTCACATATCAAGTAAAGGGACATAAAAATTTCGACAGGTTATCAATGAAAAATCACGATTTAACGGTTATTTTAACTTCGATTTTGATGATTTTTTACAGCTACAGTCCTTGACCCTATATGAATACAATGAATGAACTTGATCTTCAATTTAAAATATTTACACTAGTGGATACCACAAAATCTTGTGTTATACTTAATGAAAGTATGAATAAACTCTTAAGTGTTAGTGAATCTAATGTTTTGATGGGATACGCATTCTACGAAAATAGTTTCAACGATCCAACCATTAAACATGTTTTTATATACTTTGAGATCGCATACGCCAAAAATTGCAAAAAAGAAACATTCAGATGTCAAGTATTGGGACAAAAAATTTCGATGGTTATCAACGAAAAATCACGATTTAACGGTTATTTTAACTCTGATTTTGATGATTTTTTATAGCTACACTCTTTGATCATATATGAATACAATGAATGAATTCGATCTTCAATTTAAAATATTTACCCTAGTGGATACCACAAAATCTTATGTTATACTTAATGAAAGTATAAATAAACTCGTGTTAATGAATCTATCGTTTTGATGGAATACGCATTCTATGAAAATAATTTCAATGATCCAACCGTCAAACTTATTTGTATATGCTTGAAGATCACATACACCAAAAATCACAAAAAATAAACATTTAGAGATCAAGTAACAGGACAAAACTTTTCAACAGTTATCAATGAAAAATCACGATTTAACGGTTATTTTAACTCTAATTTTGATGATTTTTCACAGCTACACTCCTTGACCGTATATGAATACAATGAATGAATTTGATCTTCAATTTAAAATATTTACACTAGTAGATACCACAAAATCTTATATCATGATGATCGATGAAAATTGAGGATTTTGTAAAAGGAATAACATGCAAGTTTTGAGTTCCATTGACAAGGTTTAAACTTTTGAGAAAGGCTTTACAACCTTGAAAACAAAAACTCTTTCATTTTGCATATCTTTGCACATTTAATATTTTGTAATAGACTAGTAGTGTATGAATGTTTGTTTATTAGACTCTTATTTTCAAGTGTAGATGTAGTACTTAAAACGACAAATGTGTTTTAATATTTTGAAGTAATATTTATGTGGCAATGTATGATATGTGCAAATTTAAGAAAAAAAATACATTTTTCTTAACAGGTCATAGCAGGTCCTTAATAGGTCGGGTCACTTTACCCATTGGTTAAAGTGACCTGACCTGTTAAAGACCCGTTAAGATAACATGTGTTACATGAAAACGACACGAACACCACAGACACAACCCGTTTACTAGGCCTAGGGGTAAGGATCGGAGATTAGGATGTACCAAAGAGCGACCGCTTTCACTACCTAGGTTCTATCTTGCAAAAGAACGGAGAATTAGATGGAGACCTCAACCATAGAATACAAGTTGGATGGATGAAGTGGAAGAGTGCATCCGGCGTATTGTGTGACCACCGTATTCCACTGAAGCTCTAAGGGAAAATTTTATAGGACAACAATAAAGGCGACGATGCTGTATGGCACGAAATGTTGGGCATTGAAGCATCAACACGTACATATAATGGATGTAGTGGAGATGAGGATACTTCGTTGGATGTGTGGGCACACAAGAAAGGATAAGATTAGGAATGAGGATATTCGAGGTAAAATAGAAGTAGCCGAAATTGAAGGAAAGATGAAAGAAACTCGGATACGGTGGTTTGGACATGTGCGAAGAAGGCCTACTGACGCTCTGGTTAAAGATGTGATTACGAAACAGAGGTCCAGTATCAAAGGGGTAGAGGAAGACCTAGGTAAACTTTGGAAGAGACTCTAAAAAAAGACTTGAGAGTACTTGGATCTAACGGAGGACATAACATAGAACCGAGCGCAATGGTGTTCTAGGATTTATATAGCCAACCCCACTTAGTGGGAAAAGACTTTGTTGTTGATGTTGTTGTTGTTGTATTAAAAAAGGAAGCTTATAGAACGAGAGTAATATTATTACCTTTGCCAGACACAAAGTGGCCGTAAAGGCTTGAACAACCACATGCCAATCCTCCCAAAATCGAATTGACAAACAAAAGGAAACTCATTTAAACCCACGTTCCAATTCAAGCAAACTAAACAGCGTCACCACAAATTAGATCAACAAAAAGAGAAACAGGAGAACCCAAATGCTACAGGGGGGAGAGAGAGAGAGAGAGAGAGAGAGAGAGATTACAATGAGCGGGTGGTCAAAATTTTACAATTCTGCAAATACAAAAAAAATTGAATTTAAAAAAGGTACAAACATTTCAACGGCCATAGCTTGGATCAAATGAAATTCTCAGAAATTTGTGAGGAATCCTAGAATGAATACTCACAAAAGATGAACAACATATAAGGCTTAGCCAACTAAATTCGTAAAACGGATGAACATATAAGGCTTAGGCAATTAAATCCTTTTGTGAAGATTCATCAACGATATCATTAAGGCTTAGCCAATTAAATTCGTAAAACAGAAGAATAATGCACATAAAAATCTTGAGTCTAATTTAAGAAAAATGAATTATGCTTATGACTTCCCACTGAAAATGTGTCACGCCCGAACGACTAAGTTTAAAATCCTAATACAACAACATCAAGGAAAATGGACTCGAACACAAAAATTAATGACAAAATTGAGTCGATGAATCCATTTAAGCAGAAAAGTTAAGGCATTCACCAGTGGTCCGTCTTGAACGTCGTTGTGGATTTAGCATTCCCCTTGTGGGTTCAAGCGTCACTATTAATCAGACCTCCCTGTAAAGATAAAATTTAGGAGTCATTATTTGAATAGATGCAAACCTTCCCCATTTTGACAGGAAGAATAGCAGAGTGTAACATAACGTGGCCGTGGTGGAAAGCAGCTGGACACCATTGTATAATTTCTTGACTCACTGCACATTTTATACCTAAAATTTCCACTTGATTATCTTTTAGCCTCTACCTATTCTTCTCTTCCTTAATTTGGCTTTGCCTAACCAAAGTCTTTTCACATTTAAGGACGCGTGCCTATGTTATTTCCTTCTCCACTGCATTCTCATCTTGCTCAAATTTATAAGAACATCAAACCAACAGAATCTCAACCCATAATCAATTTTACCCGCCCACAATAAATCAGAATCCTCAAGCTAACAACTTACATTTGATTTGGGAAGTAAGGTGAGTTGTGCAAATAATTTATCAGTGTCTGGTTCAGCCTATAATTCAGCAGAAAGAAACATATTATTCCCTTGCAAAGCCCAACAACTTGAGTAGAAAAGAAGCAGCTAAACAATTAAATCTAAAATTCTTAGTTTTCTTTATAAGATCAGCCACCACAACCTTCAATAATACATTGATAACCCGACAAAGAACCTTCGATGCAAGATTATACACTGGCATCTGCTGATCAGCCAGCTGATTAGTCGATGCCTCCACCTATTTTTGATACCAGAAAATCCAATTGACAATTAGTGATAAAACCTAGTAACACAAAACCTAATATGTATCAACAAAACAAAAAATACTCAACAAAACCGATCATAGCAAACCAAACTAATCCGACACAGCGAAATCCAGTCACAAAACAAAAAATACTCTGCAACCCATCAGCCAATATACAGCAAGTAGAAGCAAAGCAATTAAAATAAATAAATAAATAACCCAAATCTGCAATGATCCAAACACTTAAAATTAGGGTTTGCGAAATCCAGTCACAAAACAAAAAATACTCTGCAACCCATCAGCCAATATACAGCAAGTAGAAGCAAAGCAATTAAAATAAACAAATAAATAAATAATCTATTGTTATTGGACGTTGATCAAAAAGGTCAAAGTCAATACAATACAATACAAATGAAAACAGACTACAAAAGCCTCACCAGTCACCACGGATGCAGGAGCATCGTCTCGTTGGCACATGACCCAGGGCACCCCTGTATCTAAAGACAGCCGTGCTTGTTGCCCACTTAGGCCATCTCCGCCAGAGTTTTAGCCTTTGGTTTTTCAAGATATTAATATTTTAATGAATAATACAGGATGATATTTGCTTTCGTCTCCAACCGTGGGCCAAAGGGCCAGATGACTCGTTTTAGCCCTGTCACAAAAAACGGTCTTCAACCGATGGCCATATGGCCAAACATAATTTATTATTTAAAAACTACAACTTAAATGTTGTTTAAGTTTCATGTTGTTAAATATTTTTCTTTATGTTGTATAATTTTTATGTTGGTTAATGTTATTTAATGTTGTTTCATATTGTTTAATGTTGTTTCATGTTACTTATTTTAATTTAATATTGTATAATGACTTAGGAAGTTATAGGAAAAAAAAATTAAAAAAAAATATGAAACAAATTTTGTGAAATAGAAGTTATAAGAAAAAAAATAGAATTTAAAATAAAATGAAACAAATTTTGTGAAATATAAGTTATAGGAAAAAAAAAAAGGAATTTAAAAAAAAATATGAAACAAATTTTGTAAAATAAAAGTTATAGGAAAAAAAATAGAATTTCAAAAAAAAAATGAAAAATTGAAGTTATAGGAAAATTTTTGTAAATAAAAAATAATAATAAAACTGTAAAAAAAAAAATTCAAATCCAAATCATTCCTGTCGGTTTTACCGACAATAATACATTTATACTAAATAATATGAATGTATTCCTGTCAGTTTTAACCGATATGATTTCCATTTTTTCTGGCCAGCCCTCCAGCCCTTTGGCCCTTTCAGATTCCGTGGAACCCTCTCAGATTTCACGAGCCCTCTAGCCTAGCCCTCGGTTAAAGACGATTTTCGAGCTATTTTCGACCCTGTGGCACTCTGGACCCTTCAGTTGGAGATGACCTTAATAAGTTTGGGCGACAGCCCCGTATGCTTGATCAATGGTTCCATACTCGTTTTCAATCTGGTATAATTGAAACAACAATTAACCCATAGAAAGGTTTTGTTAAGTGCTTTTGAAAAAGGGTTTTTATTTTATTTTATTTTTATGGCTTTCAGCTTTCTTGCTTTGTGGTGATATGGTGCTTGGGATTTCATGCTTGGTCCAAGAGAATGGAGAACACTGTAGACAAACAATATATGAAAATTAGTAGGTTCACTACACAATTTAATGAAAATTCTTTGTTACAATTGGTCACACCAAGACAAAAATAAAGGAAGACTTATAATCCCATAAATTAGCAAAAATTCTACTATCCTAAATTCTTAATCCCACTTGACTTTGCTGCCCCACACCTTTGTCCCCTGTCTCCCAATGACTAAAAACACTCCCAAATCACACCAGCCAGCCATACAAAGGTGACAGAGGCAACAGTAAATTTATTAGTCATATTATATCTCAAAAAATAAACTCCTAAAAGTAATAAGAATAGAAAAAGCACTAAATTGACTGGGAAGAAAAGCTAAATTGATCTTTTGGCTTACATCCAGAACATTTGCTTGAGTTAGTTCTCATATTTTCCTTCATAATCTAACAACATATATGAAATTGAAGAGAGAGGTTGAGAAATTTTTACCTCTGGGGGTGCGTCGACTTCAAGATCGGAGGTTTGTCCTTTGGATTCGCTCGTGCACAGCTTGAATCTCGCGAGATTTTGATGGATAGTTACAGAGAGAGAGAGAGAGTCGAGAGAGAGGGAAAGACTAGGGGATGGAAACGGAAAAGTAGTCGAAGCAGAATCCACGATGATTGACGCATGGGCGCCTTTCCACTGTGCAAACCGGTGGCAATTTCGTAAATAAATCGAAATTTTCCATCCGAACGACAGATAGGGATGGAAATTTTGTAAATAAAGTGAAATTCGGTCCAAAATACGGTTCAGTTGAACAGTACAACTGAATTTCCTACTTTAGACTAAAGTAATTGGAATTGTATAATATTATAAATATCCAATAAACAAAGACTCATGGTTACTGGTGATAACTGGGCTACAGCGGCAGCCAGTGCGATGGAGGTTGGCGTTGATAAGTTGTATGCTGAGACTGATCCACTAGGAAAAGCTGATAGAATCAAAGAATTACAGGATTATATAATAGTTACAGGGGTGGTGTGAGTGGATTACAATTACCCAGCTCCACAAGTAATTTTGTTCTGGTTTTCTATATTAAGTTTGTTTCTGACTTGATATGTGAGTTATCTATCTTACATAGTGTTTTCTGACTTGTTAAAGTGGATTTGGATGCAGATGAAAGGAATGGCGGTGGCAATGATGGGAGATGGAATTAATGACTCTCCAGCTATGGTTGCAGGAGATGTTGGCATTGCAATTGGTGCTGGCACCGACATAGCTATAGAAGCTGCTTATAGTTCTGATGAAGAGCAACTTGGAAGGTGTAGTTATAGCCATTGATCTCTCTAGAAAGACCATGTCTCGAATTCAATTGAATTATGTCTGGGCCCTGGGCTACAATATCCTCAGCATTCCGGTGGCTGCTGGAGTTTTGTTCCCTTTCACTGGAATTCGATTACCACCGTGGCTTGCAGGTGCATGCCTGCTTCATCTCGAAGCGTGGTACGTTCTCTCTTGTTGCAGTCATATAAGAAGCCTTTGCATATTCAGAGCGTCTTCAATGGCAAGTCTGCATGATAGTGAATGTACGTATCTGAACTAGTTTTCAACCTCTGGTTGTTACTTCCCTTCTTCGTTATTGCTGCAATGAATTTGTACATGCAATCGTGATTAATAATTTAGAAGCATAAGACTCTAATTCTTGGACCGTTTGTGTATCATCTTTGCTTTGTTCTGTTCAGAAAAACTGATTAGCCAAGTTTAGATGATTTTCGAATCTGAAGAGTGTTCAACTAGGTAAACGTCGTTGAAAACATTTCATCCAAAAGAATGTAACTGTTATGTGTTTGGTCGCATTTGCATTTGAATCAAAATGTATGTAATCATTAAATATCAATCTTGAAATTTATGGTGTTTGTTTTGATGGTGAACTAAAGACTAAAATTCCACATTTGGGCATCTCCAGCTGTGCCCACAAAATGGACAGAACTCGTCGGCCATTGATTGCTCACTTGCAATTTTCAACTGGGTTGGTAAACCACCTTCAAGTCGTGGCCTTGAATCTCTCTTACATCGCAGTCACCATTCCTCCTCACCTACCTACACTATCAGCAAAAAAAATGAATGGTGTGTGTTTGATATGTTAAAAAATCTAAGTCTCCTCACCTTGAAATAGAAGCCGGGCAAGTCTAAGTCATTCACAAGTCTTAGTAACACCAACTTGTTTCCCTATTTATGTGAATGTAATGAGTTCTAGTGAATGTATCGAGTTCTAGTTTTCGATCGAATTTACACCAAGACAATTAAGGAGAGAAGTCGTTTCCTACTATCAAAAATGTTGTCGATGATACACTGCTTGTGTTATATCTATATGATGATTATGGCTAATTACTTAACTGCAGGTGCATTAGCAATAGTTCATACCAACTTCAGCACAGATCAGTCTGCGCTTCTTGCTCTCAAGGCTCACATCACTAGTGACCCTCAAAACATCTTGACCGCCAACTGGTCCTCTGCCTCCAATTCCAACATTTGCAACTGGGTTGGCGTTACCTGCGGTGCTCGCCACCACAGAGTTACGGCCTTAAATCTCTCGTACATGGGTCTTGCCGGAGTTATTCCTCCGCATCTTGGCAACCTCTCATTTCTTGTTGACTTGGGCCTTCAAAATAATAATTTTCATGGTCCCCTGCCCCAAGAACTGTCTCGTTTGCGCCGGTTGAAGGCGATTAACTTTGGAAACAATAACTTTATGGGAACCATTCCTTCGTGGTTTGGGTCCTTTGCTAAACTTCAAACCATCATATTGTATGGTAATGGCTTCTCTGGTTTCATACCCGCTTCTATCTTCAACTTATCTGCACTCGAAAACATTTACCTGATGAGGAACCAACTATCGGGTACGTACATACCACCATTACCAACCACCTAGGAATATAAATTAATGTTGCTTGCTTCATCATTATATTTTAACATCTTTGTTTCATTTTAACCTCTATATATAAGATGTATAACAATCATCTCGTTTGTTTTATTTTTTCCTTCTTTTTTGTTGGAATGCATGCACATATTTAACAGGTAGCATACCCAGAGAAATAGGCAACTTAACAATGGTGAAGGGCATATACCTTGACGACAACAAGTTCGAAGGTATACTACATGACTTAGGTTTTATTACATCTATACATACATGGCCTTCTTAGCAGGGATCTTGTTCCACTTTAGCGAAAAATGAGATGTGGACTATTGTAGGATCGTATATTTACTGTGTAAGGCCCTCATATTTGGGAGCCAAAAAGAGGTCCTATATAGTGAGTACATGGTCCTTATGATGTTCTCCCTCTTTTGCTACAGTACAACGGGATTTCTACTAATAAGCTGCTCCTATGTCTATACATGATTTTAATATATATATACGGATTGATTTTATAGAACTTCCGAACGAGATAGGCAGTTTAGGTCAGCTGGAGGAGTTGTTTGTGCCGTACAATGCCCTAAAAGGCTCTGCTTTTGTGCTTGTCCTCAACATATCTTCTTTGACTACTTTGACTCTATTCTGGAACAACATGAGTGGTAGTCTTCCAGACAATATATGTGAGCATCTTTTGAGTATTCGACAAATTAATTTGGGTCAAAACAAGTTTGACGGTCATATTCCCTCCAAACTTTGGCAATGCAAAGATCTTCGTTATTTGTCATTAGTGTATAACAATTTCCGTGGAAGCATACCCAAAAGTCTTGGCAATTTGACCTACTTAAGCCAGATTTTTCTTGATGACAATAATTTAGAAGGTAATAAATTTAGGGGCATTTTACAATCATTTCGTTTTTAGTTTTTAGTTAAACTGAGGTTACAAAGTTAATGCAAACGTGTTGAAATTATGACAGGTACAATACCGGATGAGATTGGTGATCTTTCACAATTAGAGGTTTTGCAACTGAGTGTTAATAATCTCAATGGCGTCACCCCATCCAAACTCTTCAATAACTCCATGATAAGAATAATATCGCTTGCTTTGAATCAGCTCTCAGGTGGCCTCCCAGCAAACATAGGTCTTAATGTTCCAAACCTAGTATTCCTTTCTATGTCCACCAATAACCTCGTGGCCGGGCCACTCCCTAACTTCTCCAATGCTTCCAAGCTCAGGGTCCTAGACATGGACACAAACTCATTTACCGGGTTTCTTCCCATCACACTCTGTTCCTTGAAAAACCTCGAGATTCTTTTCTTGTTCTGGAATCATTTGACGATTGATGCTTCTACTCTCTCTTGCTTGTTTAATCTTAGAAATTTGACAAAATTAGACTTGGGAGGTAATCCATTAAACACCACGATTCCAGCTTTTCGTGGGAATCTCTCTACGCCACTCACATATTTTGATTTAAGCATTTCCAACATCAGGGGTAACATTCCCGTTGATATTGCCAACTTGAGCAGCTTGATAGAACTACACCTGGAAATCAATCAGTTGAGTGGAGCAATTCCAACTTCAATACAGAGGCTAAAAAATCTCCAAGGTTTGTTTCTGTATGATAATGAACTGCAAGGACATATCCCGTATGAACTCTGTCAACTAAAAAACCTAGCCGTGTTAGGTTTGGGTCGTAATCAGCTTTCTGGTTCTATTCCTTCCTGCTTGGGTACTTTGTCAGTAGCTCTAAGAAATCTATCGTTACAATCCAATTTGCTAACTTCAAAAATACCATCTTCCTTGTGGGAACTCAAGTCTATACTGCACCTAAACTTGTCATCCAATTCTCTAGTTGGACCACTCTCAGAAGACATCGGAAGGTTGAAAGATGTGGTGGATATAGATTTATCAAATAACCACTTCTCCGGAAACATTCCCGGTAGCATTGGTGGTCTTCAAAATATGATTAATTTGTCCTTGGCAAACAATTATTTAGAAGGCCCTATTCCCAGTTCATTTAAAACCTTGCTAAGCCTAGAATTCTTGGATTTGTCCAAAAACAATCTATCTGGAGAGATCCCAAAGTCATTGGAAGCACTCTTGTATCTCAAGCATTTGAATTTGTCTTTCAACAAACTCCAAGGAGAAATTCCAACAGGCGGGCCTTTCAAAAACTTCTCTGCTGATTCATTTGTATCAAACGGTGCACTCTGCGGTGCTTCCCGACTCCATGTTCCCTTGTGCAAAAATAGAACAAAAGTTAAGCCGAATTGGAGGAAAGCTAAATATATCATCTCAGGGATCATACCAATAATACTCCTAGCGGCCGCTGCATTGATTCTGATACTATGCAAGAAAAGGAATGTCCAAGTTGTTAGAGAAACTGCCTCGCTACATCAAGTTCTTCTGAGAAGAGTTTCGCGCCTAGAACTTGTAAGGGCAACAAATGGATTTCATGAGAGTAACTTACTAGGCACGGGGGGTTTTGGCTCAGTATACAGAGGAACACTTTCAGACGGGATAGATATTGCCATCAAGGTTTTCAATTTACAGCTAGAAGGGGCATTCAAGAGTTTTGATAAGGAATGTGAAATGCTAAGCAATATCCGTCATCGGAATCTTATTAAAATCATAAGTTGCTGTGATGAACTTGATTTCAAAGCCCTGATACTTCAATTGATGCCTAATGGAAGCCTCGAAAACTGGTTGTATTCTCCAAACCGCTCCATGAATATCCTGCAGAGGTTAGACATAATGAAAGATGTTGCATTTGCACTAGAATATCTTCATCACGGTTACTCGATACCTATTGTTCATTGTGATGTGAAACCAAGCAATATACTACTAGATGAAGATATGGTTGCACATGTTGCTGATTTTGGCATTGCAAGACTCATCAGCAGTGGAGATTCGATGACAGAAACCATGACCCTAGCCACAGTTGGATATATGGCTCCAGGTGATGTATTTTCTCAATTTTGTATATGCTGGCCTTATTAGGAGTTATAATTTTCTTTTTATAATGTATAACTAAATTCACGTACAAATTTTGCAGAGTACGGGATGGAAGGAAGCGTTTCGACTAGAGGGGATGTGTATAGTTTTGGTATTGTGCTCATGGAGACATTCACAAAACGGAAGCCAACAGACGAGATGTTTGTTGCGGAAATGGATTTAAAGCAATGGATTGCAGATTCATTATTTCCAGATGCTGCAATAGGTGAAGTTGTGGATGCCAATATACTTGGGGCGGAGGAAAATGGTGATTTCGTGAGCAAAAGGGATTGCTTATTATCCGTTATGAGATTAGCAAAAGGGATTGCTTATTATTGCCGGGAGAGAGGATTAACATGAAAGATGCCGCAATCACACTCACCAAAATCAAGACCAAGTATTTGAAGGACTGTGGAGGAATGAAATCTTAGTTCTTTTTGTTCTCTACATTTTCGGATCCATTGTCTTATTGTTGTTCTCAATCTGCAAAGACTACATTATCTTCTCATAGTGACGGATATGAGAATATGACGATATTCCTAAAATTGATATGTCGTACCTGGATTTGTCAATGCAATGAGACCAGTAGTACCAAAATTGCAAGTCCAATTATTCTTCCCATATTTGGTAGTAAAGCATTCAGTTTCTACCGCCAACCAAATCCATTTCAAAAAATTTACACTTCCAGCTCAAGAACGCTTGTCATGGGAACACAAGGTTATTTCAGTCAAAATATTAGGAAGTTATTCCAGCTGAAGGCAGTTAGGCTACTCCTCCAGGTAGTTCAATAAACTTACTGGTAAGTTGGGTTTTTTGTCTGCTTTACCAATTTGTGCTCATCTCTTTAACAAAAGGAACGAAGTTACTCCATTTTCAGCCCTAAAGATCTTATCATTCATTCTGAAATACGTAAACGATCTTACTGCTTCGGCCTAGGAATGGTAACAGTTAGCATGTATTTGCCATAAACCAAATTGCAAGAGAAAAGCAAACGCGTGAATACACAAGACAGAATGGGCAAAAGAAAAAGTGGTTAACTATTAAATGCTATCAGAAGCCATGTGTTTCTAGTTATATGACATTTCCAAAAATCCAATACATGTCTAACAGAAATAAATGGTACCTGAAATTTTCTTTTGTTATTGAACAAATGATGAATTTACCCTGTCAAATTGTTCCATTGGTATTTCTCCCGATCAAATGTACCCTTTTCTTTGAAACAGTCCATATCTGGTGCAAATCGAATCATGTTAGATTACATTGGAATTGTATAATATTTTAAATATACAATAAACAAAGCATAAGGCCAAACATTTTATAGAAGAAAGCCATCAGCAAGCCACCACTACCACCACCCAACGTTGCAAATCAACAGACCCTGGCAATCCAAAATAGTAAGAACCTGATATACAGTACAGTGATGCAATTCTATATTTGTTTTCTATTAATAATTGTATTCCAAATTTCAATAAAACAGAAAATGATTATTGATGAACTTGTCATATGTTTCTTCTTTATTATCGGCAAGACAACCCAATTAAAACTAAAGATTTACCTCATAATGCATTATAAAATACTAAAAGAAACCTATAAAGCTGATCAATAGTACCCAATATTTGTGATACTAAAAAAGCTCATATTGGCCCGTTCCAAGCCCATGTTGAACCCAGAGACCCTGCACAACCTGCCTGTGCCAGGCACAGCTGCATGGTCTAGTCCTACCTAACTTAAAAGCTTGAATTATGCAAAAAACATCTAAAGTAAGTCCAAAATAAGTGCCAACAAAGCAACAACCTAAGGAAGCATTATTTATCAACAGGCCTCGTACCTGTTGGGAGTAAATCCTTCTGGGCTACAAAGACAGGATGCCGGGTTATATTTATCCATCATTTCTAGGTAGCTGCAATAAGATATTTAGTATGTGAACTTGGTAGAAAAGATACATTTGAAATCAAGCGGATGTCTAAGAAACCCTAATTATTAGGTTGGACAATGAACAAAATTCCAGTCAGAACCTTAAAACTTAGAATCTTACAGAACATACAAAGTAGCTACATGACGAGACAAAAGTGAAGCAACAAGATCATAACCATCTCTAATAGCGGTGTTGTAGTATCCTGCTGTAAGTTCAGCAGGGTGTGCTATCGCCTGATACCACCAATATATTCCACCAATTTTAGATGGCAATATAATTGAAGTTTGCTTGTTTTCTTGATATTTCTTCAGAATGTTAGCTGCCTTTGCAAGAATATCATCTGCATGATGGAGCAACCTACCACCATACCATTCCTACAACAAGTCAAGCCACTATCAGATCTCCTAAGCTCCACAGTGTTTTCCAATAAGTTTAATCATGTTATGCCAAGTATTGCATGATAAAGAACCATAATATAATATAATTTTCCACTTATACTCCATAAGTGTCCTTAGTTTACTAACCAGTACATCCTATGATGTTTTTTTTTTTTCTCTAGAAGACAAGCATCAATGCATTTTCATTCTTAAACAAATTGCATTAATTTAGTGCAGTTTCTTAAAAACACATTCCCTTGTCATGACTTCATATTAAATCATTAAAACGTATCTACTTTTTAATCATGTTGCATAAGAGTAGTTAAGACTTAAGTAGTGAACAGTCTGCAAGTACAACCCCTAAAAGCAAATAGAGTTATTTATAAGAAAAGTTCCAGCAAAGATCGAAACTATATATTGCAGGCCAATGTTGTTTACATGCACCTACACAGAAATGTGGCATGGCTAAAGAAACACAACTTCAATTCAGCGTTTGCATTTTATTCTAAGTGGTAGTTTGAGGATGAAATGTGCATGAACAGAATGATAAAAGCAATTATGTCATGCAAGTTACACTAGGCTTTAGCTATGCAGAAATTTTTCTTGGGATATAATTAAGCAAGCTGCTTTCATACAAGGAAAAAAACACCCATAATCAGAAAGAAAGCTTTCCTCTCCCTCTCCAAAGAAAGGAACTTCAGATGGGAGACTGTTGTAACAGCCAGCCTTTTGTGGTCCCTTCTCTTCCCACTGAGGTTTTCCTTCCTTGCGTGCAGCCATCTTTAGGTCACCCATCCTACAAGGAAGAAGATTGTAAATAGTAAAAATTCAATAGCAACCAAATTTCCGTAAGAGGAATGAAAGATTTTTAACATACATGTACTTGTCATAGCACTGGAATTCACCGGTTCCAGGAAACTTCCATCTACCAAGGATGTGCAGGATATCTGTGTGAGCAATGTAACAATGTTGCATAAGAAATCATTGGACTAGCTTCATATTCTAGTTCTAGTGTAACTGTAACATACTTAAATTCACCAGAAGGACCAAGACCAACACTAATTTCTTCTATCACAGTTCCAATTAAGGATTCAAATTTCTTAGCAAAACTTGACAAGAAATCTTCATAACATTGGAGTGCAGTCTGGCCGCAAAAGAGAGCAACATGGTCAACTCCGAGTGTAAGATAATCATCATTGGAAAATCCATTTTGATCCCGATAATATATATGCTTATTCTGATCACCAATCTGGGAGGAAAAAAAACAGAAGAGGTCAACTTCTTTATCTAAATTCAGGATTCAAACTGATGGGCACGTAATGAAGGCTAAACTTTCGTTTTTTTGTCACATCCCTTTGCAAAGATAAACTTTTTATGCACATCAAAGCTAAAATCAAGTATGCTAATGGGGAACACAGTTCCATAGCATGTTGCAGAGCAGGAAACTGAAGAAACGTTGATATTATCTCTAGTCATCCAAATGGGTTATGTTTCTTAAAGTATAACCGGGTAAATTAAGCGTTCCAATACATCCATGTGCATTGTACCAGACTAATAACTTCAAATGGGATTTCAAAATATCAAAGAAGATAAACCTCTATGATCCAAAGTGGAAAAGTTACACCCCCTTTCTGCTAGAAGAAGAGTTAACATTTGAGTGAAAAGACAAGGCAACATGCAACTACAAAAAACCTAACCTGAGTCAGAAATCAGTTTGAAAAGCTCTTCATATAGAGAACAATCATATGCAAGAGGAGAGAAACGCTCTACGATTCCCCACCAAACCTCAACTGCAATTCCGTGGACACCTGCCAACTTAAGTGCTTTTAGAGCTACAGTAAGGCCTTGATTCTGAAACAACAGTAAATCCAGCAACATATAAGGAGTTTCTGTCTCACTTGAAAGGAAACTAAATTAAAAAAATTAATTTAGAAACATTTTGAGACATACATTTATATAACTTGAATTGGGAATAGACCAAAATAGTTAGCTGCAACCTTGTAGCTAATCATACTCCGTCATTTAAAAGAGTATAACAACTAAATTAAGAATGAAAATGCATCATAGCCTCATCAACAAAAAGTCATAATAAAACTTACTTCCTAATCCTTGGACGCCCCCGTACCATCATTGCAGAAGGCATCGATAGGCATCATCACATATATGGGAATTCTCTTATCTCGGGAAGATGGCAATATCGAGCACCTCGAATTCTATCGTGCATCCATGCTGCAAGCAACAAATCATCTAATTATCACACATACACATTTATACGATCCAATTTGAACATTCAAAAGCAATAAACTAGCTCAGAAACTTCTTGTCAAATCGATTAAAAGCATTCGTGTCTAAATTTCATTGTTTTGAATTTAACAACAACCCAACTGAACCTAGTTAAGTATTAACTTCAGTAAACTCTGCAGAAGCTAAAAAAATTTATAAATTTTCCTGCGTTTTCTTGGGAACCAAACAGACTGTGCAACTGAAAAGAAAACGAAAAAAAAAAACCGTAATTGTGTGAGATAAACCTGAGAATATTGTTTCCGGCAAGGGATGTGCTACAACGAGTGAAGAGGCCTTTTTTAAAGACGGAAGGGTCGAAACGTTTCGGGGAGGTTTCTGCGGTCGGGCTTATCGAAGAAACTGATTTCTCTGAAGCAGAAGAAGCTCCTCCTCGCTGTTGTGCATTTGCAGAGGACTGCCATTGTCCGCCATTGCCATCGATCACAAAGAATCTCTCAGCAATAGAGAAGCAAATCCCAATGTTTGTAATTTTCATTTGCAGCTGAAATGTACTGAGTGACTCTTGTGTGTTGTGGTATTTTTGGATATCTGTTTAGATTTGTGGCCTTTTGACACACTAATTTCTACTTCACACCCATCACTTATTAATTTATGTTATTTAAGTGTTTCAATTGATCGACAACCGGGAAATAATAAAGATGTGTGAAAGGTAAAAATGAGTGTGTGGATACCACCACCCAAAAGTTATCTTTGTATGTATTTTTTATTTGTCAAAAGATATTTGTATTAGGATAATATCAGGTAACTAAATTTTAAACCAAATTTGCAAATGTGCTACAAATAAAAAATAAACATTTTGATTTGACTCTTATTTTTCAAATATTGAGTTACGAATCAACTAGCCTTTCAGATTCCATGCTTGTTAGTAAACATGAAAAAAGTCGAGAACCAGGTGAAAGCTTGCGTTGGTTCTCCCCCATAAACCTAATGGAAGTTTGCTCCCATTGCTTGGGAACCTCCTAATATTCGTTGGATATAAGCTTAATGTTGACAGTTCAAGATTGGTGAGGGTG